TTGCATACCAATTTTCAAAAATAAACTCCTAACCAAATGAAGTTTGCTTATAGATTAAACTCATCATTCAAGAAGATTCAATCAGATTAAATAATCCAAAAGGTGAAGTACGACATTGTAGATGATAGACGAATTCCAATTAAACTGTTCTTTCTTGAGTTTCAAAGGTCAAACGTCATAATACGAAAAATAACCACTGTTTCATCTTTACTATTCCCACAAAACCATTTGGTGGGTGTTTGGCCCCCATTTTTTAGGAAGAATTAGTTTTTGAATAGTGATTGATGAAAGAATGTGTGGTGAAAAAGTGATGAAAAATTTTAGATTTGTATGTAATATTATTTTATTTGGAGAAAGTGTGGTCGAAAATGAGTACTGTAGAAAAATGAATGGGAAAAAAGGAGAAATAATGGGGCTCAAACATGGGCTTAATCAAGATAAATGATGCAACCATTACCATAAACTCATTGGTGAATCAATCAACAAGGAAAAATGCTGAGATCGACTTGATTTGTAAACAGTTTTATAATTTTTATTAATGTTTTTGAATTAAATCATTAATAAGCGAAATTGTATTTAGTTTGTGTAAAATATAAGCAATTGGTATCACCTAAAATGTAAGCAAATTGTATCACCTAAATTTAAAAATAAGTGTTTGTAAATTTGGTTAATATTATTTATAGAAATTATTATTGTTTGCACAGTAAAAAAAGGCATGATGCTCCGCAAAGAGTTGATGCTCCACACCGTGCGGAGCATCACCAAAAATGAATCTAAATCATTTTGTCATTCAAACAAATAACTAACATGAAATATGAAGAAAATGTCACTAATTGACAATTTTCATATTAAATTGATGATCTTTTTTTAAATAAAATCAGATGCCATTAAAAATCAAAACAAATAAAAATGACACCGAAAACCAAATTAAACATATGAAAACCAACAGAACAAAAATTATTGATATGATCCGCGTAGCCTTGTGCAAAATTTCGTGCCGTTTTCAGAATGTACTCATTGACGAAAATTCGACAACCAAATTGAAAGTTATGCCCGCTGCTTATTTTCTTTCCAAATATCTTCCAAACCTTGAATCAAACTCGTTTTGGCTCCCAAGCCCTTCAAGAAACTTGAACATTGGCTTGTCAA